CCCTCCCCCCCTCCCCCCCCCGGCGCCCCCCTGCTCCGCCGCACACACACGTCTGTGAACACCTGCCGTGCTGCACACACGCGGGAACACCTGCAGCGCCGCACACACACGTCTGTGAACACCTGCCGCGCTGCACACACGCGGGAACACCTGCAGCGCCGCACACACACGTCTGTGAACACCTGCCGCGCTGCACACACGCGGGAACACCTGCAGCGCCGCACACACACGTCTGTGAACACCTGCCGCGCTGCACACACGCGGGAACACCTGCAGCGCCGCACACACACGTCTGTGAACACCTGCCGCGCTGCACACACGCGGGAACACCTGCAGCGCCGCACACACACGTCTGTGAACACCTGCCGCGCTGCACACACGCGGGAACACCTGCAGCGCCGCACACACACGTCTGTGAACACCTGCCGCGCTGCACACACGCGGGAACACCTGCAGCGCCGCACACACACGTCTGTGAACACCTGCCGCGCTGCACACACGCGGGAACACCTGCAGCGCCGCACACACACGTCTGTGAACACCTGCCGCGCTGCACACACGCGGGAACACCTGCAGCGCCGCACACACACGTCTGTGAACACCTGCCGCGCTGCACACACGCGGGAACACCTGCAGCGCCGCACACACACGTCTGTGAACACCTGCCGCGCTGCACACACGCGGGAACACCTGCAGCGCCGCACACACACGTCTGTGAACACCTGCCGCGCTGCACACACGCGGGAACACCTGCAGCGCCGCACACACACGTCTGTGAACACCTGCCGCGCTGCACACACGCGGGAACACCTGCAGCGCCGCACACACACGCGTGCGAACACCTGCCGCGCTGCACACACGTGGGAACACCTGCAGCGCCGCACACACACGTCTGTGAACACCTGCCGCGCTGCACACACGCGGGAACACCTGCAGCGCCGCACACACACGTCTGTGAACACCTGCCGTGCTGCACACACGCGGGAACACCTGCAGCGCCGCACACGCGCGCGGGAACACCAGATTTCCCAGGCTTCCCCTCTATATAGGCGGTATCCTTTTATGAAGCCCCCTTGTGTATAAAGTGTTTATAAATATTTGTGGATTAAGATACACAAGTCTATTTTTAAGATTTAAGTTGACTAAGTTAACGGCTGGCCTTTTTTGCCTACACGTGCAATGAAATATAGCATACCTTTAGTCCAGGATGGCCTAGGTGCTGCGTAGTCGGTGATGAAACCCTCGCTGCTTCCCTGCTGCTCTCAGAGAAAAGCTGTACGAGAGGTGACGGCGGCTGTTTGCGTCCGGACTAGCGCAGCAGAGCTTGTATTTGACCACTGGTAACCTGAATGTGTTGTATTGGCTTGTTGAAGATAATCATGAAACAACATATTTTAAATGTTAACTTGCCTTATAGCTTAGGAGACAAATATGTGGATATCATTTTTTGTAAATAATGTTTTTTATAAACGTCTTTCCGCCGTTCTTCCCCCGTCACCCATTTCACAAAATCTTGAATATGCAATTATTTAACGCTGCAACAAATAAATCCCCCCTTCAGAACAAAGTTTATTAAATCTATCCAGAAGAGACCACATTAAATCCCCGGTTAAGTTGTAATTTAAATGTGATTTTTTTTTTTCCCCTTGAAATTAAACAGAAACCTGGAAATACCGTTCCCTCTGCGTGGGTTTTGCTTCCGCGCCGCCCCCTGCGCCGGGGGGGTGACGGCCGCCACCGCGTC